GGGAAGAGGAAGGAGAGGAGCCAGGCTTTCGCTTCTGACTTAAAGAGACCGGCGTCCCAGCAACTACGTACCGGGCAACGGATTCCAGTGTCACAACAGGAGAAGCCGAACGAGAGCACACACGACGGCCGTTAGGAGAGCGATGGACATCCGCCCGCACCGACAGGCAGTGGGGAGAGCCGATAGATGGAGGAAGAGGATGGGAAGGAGGATTGGAGGGGGACGAGGAAGATGACACAGGAGACACGACAGACCGGGTAGAAGGAAGGGGAACCCCAGACAGAGGACCAGGAGGAGGATCCTTCGGGAGAGAACCCAGAGGAACAAAGGAGGGGGCAGTGGGCACATCAGGGTCCAAGGCCCGGAAACGGTTGTGAGTCTGAGGAAGGCGGGAAGGACGAGGAGAGGAAGAGCTCAACACGCGAGCATAAGAGATAGTAGCAAAAGGCGGGAGCCGGCGAACCTGGCGTCTCGCCTCAGGAAAAGATAAACGCTCCCGGTGCTTCAAGTTGAGGACGGCTGCCTCAAGCTTGTAATGGACACACGCACGGGAGAAGGTAGGATGGGCCTCACCGCAGTTGAGGCAACGTGCCTGGGGAGAAGTGCACTCCGACTTAGAGTGACCTTCACTCCCACACAAGGACAGAGAGACAGTCCCAGAGCAGCGGAGGGCACCATGCCCAAACCTCCAGCACTTGTTACAAAGTCGAGGAGAAGGAATATACTCCTGGACAGAGCACCAGCAAGAATGACAGAGAATGGAAGGGTCCTACCATCAAAGGTGATCTTCACAACGCGAAGAGGTTGACGGCGACGACCACGAGGGGGACGAGTAAACGAGTCAACCTGGAGGACAAAATGGCCTTGGGCATCAAGGATATGCCGAATATCATCGTGGCAATCCTGCAGATTCCGAACACCGGTTGCAACATGGGGTGGGAGGAGAATAGTGCCAACACTGGCATTCATCTGAACGTTCTTGGAGACCCGAACAGGGATCTCGCCAAGGCAAGATAAGGCAGCCAAGCGGGAAGCCGCATCCTGAGAAGGAACAGCAACGACACGTGTACCGAGACGAGTGGGGTTGAAAGTAACAGACGCATCCACGGAATCTACAAGATGCCGGTGGAGGGAGAAATCGTCAGGAGGCGCAGAATCAAGAGGGAGGAGATCAAAGTATTTGGCCCATGAAGCAGGACCAAACAAGGCCTGATACGCATCAGCACGGGAAGGAATCGAGCGAGTGCGGTTGGGGCGCGAACGGCGTTGAGAACCCCTAGAGAGAGAGGGGTCAAAAGGCGCAGTAGTCACAACGAAAGACTTAGCCACACCAGGGGACGAAGTGGTCACCACCGGGGGCTGGAGGCTCGACCCAACCACAGAGGAGGGAGGGGAGCTGGGGGAAGAAGTCAGGACGGTCAAAGGAGGAGCAAGGTCGGAGCCCAACGCAGCGGGAGCTACAGAGCCTGGTCTTCCAATACAGGCCGACTCGGGGGCTTGGTCGCCCACCCCACGAGCCTGAAAGGGTACAACGGAAACATTCAACGACATAGAGACGAAAAGTGACAAATTCATCCACGAATGTGCCCCCATACCCACCATGGAGCCACAATTAGAGGCAGGACACCCAACAGGAAGCTATCGCCGATCATGCCGGGGCCCCCTAGGGGTGCGTCGTGAGTATACGCCCCACAAACGCCACCTTAAGAACCGTCAGTCCGTCGAGATCGGGTTCAGCGACGAAAGGGGGATTGACAATAAAAGGTTCCCCTCGCTCGAGACGTTGGGTACTACAGTTCTACGGGTGCAAGAGGATGCCTCCTCAAGCACCCGGGCGTCAAAATAGAAGAAGTCCAAAGAAATAATCCAAAACAAGCAAAAGGTCGGCAGGAAACGACAAGCAGATAGGAGAAGAGGGGGGAGAAAAACGAAACATAAGGAAAAGGAAAAGCGATCCGGCACAATTGGAGAAGACAGCAGCAGGAGTGCAAGGCCAGAAAAGGACAGAGGACTGCCCAACGGAGCATCACACTCCGGCAGCCGTCCACCAAGCCCCCTCATGACGCCAACGGGCCGGATGGGGAGGGGGAAGTTTGAGGTAGCTGTCCTCAACTTGAAGCACCGGGAGCATTTATCTTTTCCTGATGTGAGGCGCCATGTTTGCCGGCTCCTGCCTTATGCTCGCGTGTTGCGCTTTTCCTCTCCTCGTCCTTTCCACCTTCCTCAGACCCTCAACCGCTTCTGGGCCTTGGACCCTGATACAACCACTGCCCCCTCCTGTTCCTTTGAGTTCTGTACCGAAGGATCCCCCTCCTGGTCCTCTGTCTGGGGTTCCCTTTCTTTCTACCCGGTCTGTCATGTCTCCTGTCTTCTTCCTCGGCTCCCCCCCGATCCTCTTTCCCGTCCTTCCCCTCTGTCTATTAACTCTCCCTGCTGCCTGTCAGTGCGGGCTCATGTAGTGCCCTTATTGCTCTCGGGTCCTTTAATCTGGTTCATCCAGTGGTTGTCGAGATCGAACATTGGCTGTTTCTTGTTCACAGTAAATTTAAGTCGGCTGAGTTTTGTTGAGTTTCCAGCCATATTGGTGTCTCTTTAAATGAGCGTGCGGATGCTGCTGCCAGGAAAGCTGCCCGTTCTTGTCCCATCTCTCGTAAAGGAATTCCTTATTAAGACTTTTTTACCCTGTTATCCATTCCCCCATTCTTACCCGTTGGCATGCTTGTTCGTCGTCTGTTACTGGTAACAAACTACGTTCTCTTAAGTTGTACTCTTAACCGTCCTACCTCCGTAACCGGGAATGGGAAACGGCCCTGGTGATATTGCGTATTGGCCAAACTCGTTTCACTCGTGGTCACTTGGCGCGCCGCCCTGCTCCTTATTGTCCTAATTGCATTGTCCCTCTTATGGTCGTGCATATCCTTGTTGAATGTCCTGATTTTCGAGACGAGCGTGTCTGTTTTTTCCGACTGTCCCCCGAGGTCGCTTGTCTCTCGATAGTATTCTTGGTGACTCGGATACTTCTGATATCGTTCGCCTTGTGCGTTTCTGTTCTCGTATTGGCATCCTTGGTGATATTTAGCGCCCTCTGATAATCCCGCACATTTGATGGTGCTACATAGCCTTCCCGGTTTGGTGCCTTCTTTTGATAATTACTTACTTGGTTGCCGGGTTGACGATCACTTGGACGTTGTGTTGAGAACGGGCTGTGGATGATTAAAGTCTGAGATTGCGTTTTACCATTCGGTGGTAAGTCAGCTTTTTAGATGAAATCTGACCTGAGTGATTGTCTTGCGGGATGTTTCTCAAACTTTACAAGATGTCCAATTTAGTATTTTTATGTATTTAATGTGACATTTCGGGTATGTATAAGGGTGCATCAATACAACGGCACTGCAGGTATGGTCAACCAGACCCCAAGAAATTGGTCGCTTACAATGCTACTGCAGGTATGGAGGGATTAAAGTTACTTGGGAAAACTTCTCTTGAATCGCAGTTGGTCATTATGTAGTTGATACATATTCCCACCTACGTACAATAGGTGAAGGAACTAAGTTTAATAATTTTAATAGTTTACACACTATGCCTCGAAGTAGTGATCTTCTAATAGTTATAGTCTAAAGTACTCTATGCGTTAACCAGTTCAGAGTGATAAACCATTCTTCAGGCCCTTAATTTTAACATTTAGTTGTGGTTTATTATATACTTAATGTTAAGCTAACAATTTCGGTTACAATTCAATCCCATCCTCTCCGTCCATATTTGTTAGTCTGTCTTCTATCCCACCAGTCCAATCAAATATATATATATATAAATAAAAATACCCAAAAGGGTTATGCTTCAGTTGGGGTTAGGAGAGACTGGCAAGAGGAAAGTTTTAGCGTGAGGGGAAAGTACCGGGGCTAAACCTAGCAAGCTGAATATACCGTCGGACAGTTTCGGGAGGCTGAGCACTTGCAGCTACGTTGCCATCATCTGCATCGTGCACAAGGTATTGGTAGCCCTTGAATGCTGTAGCAATTCTGCAAGTCGACAAATATTGTGATCAGGTGGCAGGACCTGTGAAGTGTTAAGGTGAACGTTTCTGGGTCTCCGGAACGGGGTAACGTTGTGTTCCTGATTTGTAAGTGCAAAGTATCTCTTGATTGGGAAGAAAATGTTATATAATTGGCGGAGCTTTCATGACCACAGATAACGGTCTTAAGAGCAGGACACTAATTACTTCCATTTTTTTCCCCAAGCTAACAAAGAAGGCTCCGAAGGAAGCAAGTTCTAGGTCGGAAGTTCGCCGATTGTTTCCTTCATCTAAGACTAGAGCTTGTTAACTTCCTTTCAGATGCTTCCTAAAGCTGTAGGAATATATAACATGGAACCATCCTCTAATGACTGGATGTTTGTTCCTGAACAATATTTTGTTGCTGGAGAGGAGCCAGTTTCTTGGCAGCTTCTCCTATGGTATATTCTGGGCAGCCTCTTACTTTAAGGACGCCCCAGAGCTCCTACAAGGCTTTCCCCATATTATTCTGGTCACTAAATATACCTTTGACGCAGATTCTCAGGGAGAAAGATAGGTCTCTTCAGAGAAACCGGGTGGCAGGATGCATATAAAAGTGAAGGTTTGAGCCTTGTAATAAACCTTTATAGGAGTCTTTCTCCGTCTATACATATATACAATATATATATACATACACAAGTACTTAGTAAGGGAAGCTCCTCCATGCGGGTCTAGATGGTAAACTTCATGTCTGGGTGAACTCTGCCAATTCATTGACGACTTGAACTGTAGTAAAGCAGCCTGTCCTCTTAAAAGCCAAATGCTCGTTTCAGGCATACCGTTCTCGGGCCAGGCTCGTAAGTGACTCGTTACCCCCCCCCCCCTCAAATCCATTTATCGAAATTTTGCAACAACTTGGAAACTAGTATCAACCAAGTTTGGAGCAACCTCCGGCCGGAGCAAGGCAAGTCACAGGGAGCAATTAAAAACTAAACTCTCGCTCTTTTAGGTACCTCCATCTCGACAAACCAGTCCAGTGCCCAAACTACAACCTAGGCCTTAAACCGGTAATCCAGCAAATGAAGGTAGACCTCAAGCGCGGTGCGGAACGACGACGCAACTGCAATCTCACAAGGGAGGAGAAGGACGCCCTATCAACGCTGAAAGAACGCACGGATATTGTGATAAAGCCGGCGGATAAGGGAGGTGCTGTCGTCACCTGGAGGAAGGACAACTACAGGAACGAGATGGAGGCACCTGGCAGACACTGCAGCCTACAAACAGATACAAAACCAGGATGAGGCACTTAAAAACGCCCAAACGAGGAGTAAAAGGATAGTCCTCAAGCTGTTCGAAAACAAAACTGGGGACGGGAATGGAGGACTCGTGCAGGCAGGGGCGAAAGATTTCTTCCTAGCCTTTGAATCCATCATTCCCCACCTCTACCTTTTACCAAAGATCCATAAAGCACTAGAAGAAACAGGAACGTGGCATGGGAGACGGGTTCTAAGCAGCTGCCAGGCCCCAACAAGGCCAGTAGACTGGATCTGCACCGCCCTCCTGAACCCTTTACTACGTCTACTACCAGAAAGAATCAAAGATATGACGGATTTCCTCAAGTAAATTGCAGAAATTAGAGGCCCCGTCCCAAGAGGGGCCCGCCTTTTTTCCATGGATGTGGTATCGCTCTACCCGAGCATACCACAGAGAAGCTGCAAATGTGGTAGCAACTTTTTTTTTTACAGATAACAAAGCAAAAATCAGAGGAACTTAGAGACGCAGGAGTATGGAGGACCCCTCGAAAAACTCTGTAGGAGGCCATCCTCCATGTGATGAGACACCCTTTTGCAATTTGAAGGATGAGCATACCGGCAAAACAAGGGTACAGCGATAAGAGCATCCAGTAGTGTGGCAATCGCTGAAATATTTGTGCATGTAGTGTTTGAGAGGAAACTATCCCACAGGAAGGACGGACCGGCGGTATATTTGTTACATAGACGACAGCTTCGGAATAATGGAGGACGGTTCCCGTGCCTAGGTTTCTTTTCATGGTCAAATACAGTTCATGAGAACCTTAAGTTTATCCTCGAACACACTGACTCCACGATAAATTTCCTAGATACAACAGTGTATATAGACCAGCTAACCAGGGATCTGCATACGAAGGCATACTATAAACCGACTAGCCTTCAAACGTATCTTAAATTAGACTCGAACCAACCACTAGCCTTGAAGAAATCGCTACCCTACTCACTTGGATTCACTCAAGCAGATTAATTAACAGCAAAGAGACGCTATATCCCCAGCTTGATGACCTATGGGATATGTTCAGGAACAGAGACTACCCAGAGACAATAATACATGCGGCCCAGGAGAAACTCGGAGAAAAAACAAGGGTGGAGCTACTCAGACCTAGAACACAAGTGGAAGACAAGAGATGTATCCTCCCAACCCTTTTCCCTGGCCTTGCAGCACAGCTTAAGATAAAACTCCAGGAAGTATGGACATGGATGAGGGAAACGTACAGTGAACATCCTTCCTGAGTAAAATTCCCACAAAACCCTTCTATGATCGCCTGGAGGCGAGGAAAGTCTATAAAGGACCACGTTGTTAGAGCAGCTGTGCAGGTAGATCTCGACCGAACTGGGGGAGAGGACCAGCCCCAGGGGTACAGTTGAAAGAAATGAAACGTAGACCCTAACCTAACCTGACACAGGTTTGGTGTGCGACCTGCGTGGAGGCGGAGTATGCAGAGGGGTTTGGAGAGGCCTACATGTACAAGCTAAATCTGAAAAAAGAACCATTTGGTCACCATAGGATCTACCGACCAGTGTTCATCGACGACACTTTCATCTACAGTGCAGTTAATAATGGACATCGGTAAATCATCAGTTAATCATGGAGTTAGTGTTCGTCACTTGAGATTATGCTGCATTTTTTTGTGATGGCGACTGCAGTTATACGTTACATATATGGAAAATATGAGCCTCTAGATCAGGAAGAAAATGGGAATAATCAAATTCCATTTCACAAAGAAACCTTTAAGGAAAGAGCACTGAATAATGAAACAAAATTCAAGTCTGCCTTTAGAACTTCAAAAGTCTGTTTTTGGAACATTTGAGAGCTAAAAATTTCTGCCCGCGCTGTCCAACTTAATAAATGAACCACCAGAGGTCGTGAAGGACGCAGACCCCATGCAGATGCTCATCATGCTTAAAGAAAAACGTTCGTCAGCTAAACTCTCACATTTAAGTCGTGAGATGACTTTTGAGATACCACCAGAGCTCAGAGAAAGGTGACTCCATCCAGCGGCTCAACTTCGTCGAGGACCAATATTTGAAAGACAAACGCTCACTCCATGACATGACTGTTGACATTCCGGACTTCATTAGTGATGAAGAATTAGGATGCATAGAGAAGTTGAAAGATGTAATGCCCCATGCTGACAAATTCATAAACAAACTAACAAGTAAAATACGTAAGTTTTACAACAATGACGAACACCTTACACAAGAAATGGCAATGAAGCTGGTGTCACATAAATACACTACCGGTTTTCGAGGTCGCTCGTTAACTTCCATACAATTATTCGAATTCATTTCTAAATATGTTGAAAACCGTAAATTATTTAAAAATGCGTAAATGTCAAGTGGTAATGTTTTTTTTATAAATTGCTTACATTAAACAATGTTAACTATTCAATATAACCATGAAATAAAACCAATTTTAACAATGTATGACTGTCATTTTCCAAATTTACCATGTTATTTCATATCTTGCAGTGAAGTTGTGTGCTCTCGCCTCTTAATTCATGAAGTGTTTTAGCATCGTGAGTTTCAGGTAAATAGTGTATGAAGTCCCTTCTTAAAATTAAGCTTTCCTACCCAAGGATAGGTAGTCTTATTTGATATATACAGTAAAAAGGACGAAATGAAACATATAGAAGCTGAAGCAGCCATTGATCCATTGAGTCGTGGCAGTTTGCTTATATTGTTCTTATGAATAATAATATACAGTTTGAACTTATCACTGAATAATGATTACAGTCGTGGATGACTAAAATGTATATTCTTAAACCTCTGATTAGGTTAGCTGGGGATGGCTAGTACAGCCATTTGAATAATATCTAATACAGTACATATGCAAGTAGGACGCCAACGCTGCATTGTCCATCTGGTGACGTAACACACAGTTGAACAGTAGGGTTGGTGTTGGCCTTAACACCTATTTGTTAATGGGAGCTAATACTCTATCCCTATACTAGGCAGCTTTTTGCGTCTTCGCTAAAACGAGTCTGTAGAAATGTATTTTGTTTGTTATATAATAAGTTAGGCTAGGATGATTTGTTATGGCTTATGAATTGAATAACAAAATGAGCAATTAGCGAAAAAATACGAGCCAAGGTACCCGAATATTGCCTGTGATAACAGAGTACAGTTGAGGTATTGAGAGAGATATTAATAGGCTATTAATATCCCCACTTTATCATGACCAGTCACACCTCTATCATGTCGCCCCTATTTCTTTGCCTTTCTAGAGAATGTAATTTATGCATTGTCAATCTTTCTTCAAGGATCGTTTATTGGGCATAGGGCAAATATAGGGCACTACTGTAAATAGTAGTGGAAGTTATGACTAAAACTGTGCGTTTTGCTTTTCCCACGCACGGTTTAGCTACGGGGGGGGGGGGGGCATTTTTTCCCCATTCACGGTTGTAGCTACAGGGGTGTTTTCAAATTTTTCTCCGGGCACACAGTTGTAGCCTCAGGGGTGTTTTCAATGTTTCCAACGGTTGCATCTAGCCCAGGGTATGTTTTTCAATTTTTATTCACTAGTGCCTCAGTCTCATAATATTTTCATTCATTTATCTTTCTCTATGGTCAAACATGTTATTTTCCAAAATGTGAGATAAAAAGGTACCCTACTAGGTCCTGCCATTTTGTTCAAGGGGATTAAAAGATCGGTTCCTGTCATAGCCTAATTTCGTTACCCCAGTGACCCGCCCACAGGCATCGCTAATGGTCAATGACATCATCGGCTAGCTAGTCTTCAATTTGCCTGGGGGTGGGATCTGGGTAACATAATTTGGGTATGCCGGCTCCTGGCATACCCAAATTATATTACCCCAGTGACCCATGCAAAGGCATCGCTAATGGACAAATGACGTCATCAGCAGGCCAGTCTTCATCTTCCCTGTATAAGTCAGTTTACTGAAATAGCATATTTAAACCCATTTTCCTAATGTTTCCCATTTTAAGTTCATTCTATAGACAAGATCGTATATTAAACATAAGAAATGAAATTGCACAAGGCTTTTGCTGGATCTCCTATTTATTTCCAATTATGTCAACCAAAACATCAACTAACGCTATTAGATGAAGTGCAGTAGACCTATTCCCAATTATTACCCCCTTTCCTCTCCATCTATCCATTCAATCACGCCACTGTCAATATTCAGGACCTATTAGCTCACTTTACTTATATTTAAAGTGTCCAGTCAAGGATCGTTTGAGCATAGGAATGAATGAAACCCACCATCAACCATTGCATGTAGCAAAGGGGGGAGCAACACAGAGCATGAACTAATGTGTATCTTAGAGTTCGCCCTTGTTACATGTATTTACCCAGGTCTTTTTCCTAAATCTGAAACTTACCCAATTTATACCAATTGTTTCCTGTTCTGTCTCGTGTTTATAGTATTAATAGGCTATTAATATCCCCCCTTTATTATAAAAAATTACACAATGTGTGGAACTCAAGCCAGAGGATAAAATAAGAAAAATCATTGTCCTCCACTATCCCTTGCATATGGCCCGTGACCATCTCGAAAAGCTGAACTATGTGGTGTCAGCAGAGAGATGTCAGGTTAAAACCACAAAGCAGGAAACCCGACAAGTCCTTCTTACAGTAAGAGGACGGATCCCGGAGAAACTTGACCTTGGAATCTAGGACGTGTTCCAACACAGGCCTTACACCCCAGAGCCCCTAAGATGCTTCAGATGTCAGAGATTTGGGTATCACAAAGATGGCTGGCAACGCCCAGTGAGGTGCGGAGTCTGCAGCCAGCACCACAACACAAAAATATGCATTGATAAACACAAGGCAAACCACCCTGTCCAAGCAAAGTGCCCAAATTGCTCCGAAGCACATCACGCCTGGAACTGGAAATGCCCTAAAAGGCTCAAAAGGCTTCAAACGAACCCCACCACGCCTACAGCGGAGCCGAAGCCCCCACCAAAACTGGGGGCTCGCTCCCACCAGCTCCCCTGCCCACTAAAACTGCGTGGGGTCTACCTATTCTGGTAGAGGGGGCACACGGCTCTTCACCTTCAGTCATGGTGAAGGGTGTGAAGGCCTCAAAGACAAAGGGATAGCTGGAGGCCACAAGAAACATGTTCAAGGCAGTCGCCCTCCCATTGCATCCAGTAAGCACACTGGGGACAATAAAGATAAGAGTAACAATACCAGTGTCAAAGTGTCCACTGAGATGGGTCAAAAAGTAGCCAGGCCCCAAACCTGTACAAGAGTAATTAGTGCTCCCGCTCAACTGGACGCTCTCTGGCCAATGCTCAAAACTTTGGTCACGGAATTGGTTGAAAGTCTGTTGTCGATACACGATATCAAGCAAACCACAGAGACACGGAAGACAGTTGAGCACAAGCTCATGAACTTCGAAAATATAATATCCTTGCCTTCAAGAACGCAGGGCAGGAGACACTCCCCTAAAAAACAGTCCAGCTCGTCTGAAAGCGACCTAGATGAATAAATTTCAGGTCCACTAAGATCCTCTACACCAATCACAACTTTCATGGCGTGTTCATCAGATTTGGGGGGAGCCGGTCGGCCGAGCGGACAGCATGCTAGACTTGTGATCCTGTGGTCCTGGGTTCGATCCCAGGCGCCGGCGAGAAACAATGGGCAAAGTTTCTTTCACCCTATGCCCCTGTTACCTAGCAGTAAAATAGGTACCTTTGTGTTAGTCAGCTGTCACGGGCTGCTTCCTGGGGGTGGAGGCCTGGTCGAGGACCGGGCCGCGGAAACACTAAAGCCCCGAAATCATCTCAAGATAACCTCAAGATAACCTCCATGGATACCACGGTAATATCAGCAAATTCCAAGAACCTAGAGGTCTAAAGATCCTGCAATGGAATGCGCAAGGACTGCACACAATTGGAACACTTAAAATGCATAGCAGCAACCAAAGGCATAGACATCCTGATACTGCAGGAGAACCTGCTTCGAGCCGGATTAGAACCTAAAATCTCAGGCTATCGAGGCTTCTTCCTTCCATGGATCAACGGGCAATCCAGGGGATGTGCAATCTATGTAAAATGTGACCTGATCTCCAAGTCCATAATCAGCCCACCCGATTGTGGAGCAGGGACAGAGGTAATGGGAGTATCCATTGAGCTAAGACACGACAAACTTGAAGTGTTTAATGTGTACAGGTCTCAACATGCTGAAATGGATCTCTCTGTTATTTGGACACGCGACTTCATCAAACACAATCATTTGTGGAGATTTTAATGCCAATCATCGATTGGCACTGGGCTCGAACACAACAAATGAGGCCGACATTCACATTGCACATCTACTAGACCAGCTACCAGAAATACAAATCCTAAACAAGAGTAAACCCACCCACATCCAAAGAGGTAAATTAGACCTTACCTTCGTTTCAGCCACCCTAAGAGATGCAACAACATGGTCAGTTGAGCCCACACTCACAAGCGACCACTATGGGGTCCAAATTGATCTTAAGTTATATCTACCCACCCCACCTCCGCGTCCATCTGAAGCCTGGAACTTTGC